CGGCTGACTTGTGAATAAGGATGAAAATATCCGATGATGTGACTCCCAGGGAAGCAATTATGGTTAACCCCTCATTTGTTTGGCATTTTCAAGTATTGAACTGTCCCACAGAACTGCATTTTCCTGACAACTCAGACTTTCCTATTTATGTGCCTTGAATGTTTTCAACCATGCTTGGTGGAAATACTTCTGAAATTGGTTATTCAATTATCCTGCCTTCTTGAACAGAAGCTGCAAGAAATAACATTTCTTTAGATGCCTTTCTTTGACTGCAAGTCTGAGAAGACCTGATTAAAAGAGGTTTAGGTAGTTAGGACTTGCAGTGGTCTCACATAACAAGGAATCCAGAACTGGGCATTCCAGGGCTGATGAATTCAATAGCTCAGTGATGTCAGGCTGACTTTCCTGGTCACAAGGTGGATACACAGCTCCAAGCCTCAAGATCTCACATGACAAGATCTAGGCAAGAATGAAATGGGGGCTTCTCCTTATACATGTTTTTACTCAGAGAGGAAAATATTTCTCAGAAGACCCCTAGCCAACTTCCCCTTGGGTCTCATTGGCAGGACTGAGTCACATTTCCATGCCTTGGTCTCATGGAAGGCTGAAGAGAGTGAATACCCAGCACTTTAGGACTCTGAAGTGGGAGGAAGGCTCTACCCATAAAAAAGAAGGATGGGAAGGCACCTGCGTGGCTCAGTTGGTTAAGTGTCCGACTCTGGATTTTGGCTCAGGTCATGATCTCAGGGTCATGAGATCAAGCGCTGCATTGAGCTCTGCACTGGGTGTGGAGCCTGCTTAAGATTTTCCCTCTCTTCCTCCCTCTGTCCCTCCCTCCTCCCTTCCTTCTGTTAAAAAAAAAAAAAAAAAAAAAGAATGGAGAATGGATGGCTCTTGGTAGGGAACCAAGAGTGTCTGCCAGGTTACTGAGATTGGGAGTGAACATTACTTACAGTATGGTAATAGCTTGAGGGATGGTTGGGCTTTTCGTTCTCTGCTGAATGGCCCCAGACTGGGATTATTTTTGATTTCCTAAATCTGCTTTTATTTATTATTCTCTCTCCTTTCTCTGTGCCAGACTGCTAGTTATCATTACTTACTGTTCATGTACCTTGTCCTAATCTTGCCATAATTAGATTTTTTTTTTTTCTGGAAAGATCCTATGATCAAACTTGTGAGAACTTTGCCCGAAATGTTCTGAGGGAGTATCTGACAGCTGTCCTGTGTGTCACCTATGTGATGTGGTATTGCTTTTGGCTATTGGGGGCCATTTTTCCATCGTGAGGTCTTTGGAGAAGTGACAAATTTCTAGAGAGTCTTATGAATTTAGATACAACTCTAATGAAGTCGTCTTACGGTGAAAGGATGAGCATTTGGGGACAGTTAAACTTGTTTACTAGAGAAAGCAAAACTGCATCTGTCCATCCGAATCCCAGCGTGGTGTAGAGAGAGGCAGCGAAGTTTATTGGTCCATATTCGGCTCCTTCTCAAAGCCGCATGGCTGCCAGTTGCCTGGAGAACAAGCACGAGAGCTCTGGGACTGTGACCCGTGGGACTCCTCCCTGCAGCGACTGTCCAGCACAGGGCAAGCTGGTGCAGAGTTTCATGATCCCTGCCCTCTGCCAGGGCAGCAGGGCCCTGTGAGGGAATGCTGTGAAATGCCCAGGTCGTACAGAATCGCAAGTGTTTTGGCAGGGACTTGTTTCAACAAGTTCTTGAAGAAAGTAATACTTTGGCAGTGGTTATTGAAATTATACTGAACAAGTGAGGACCATCCCTTCCGTGGAAGGAGAGCTGACCAAAATCAGTCTCTGTATACAGGAAGAAGGAAATAGGAAGCAGTTGTCAAAATAGTACTGATGATGAGTAACTGAACCAAATGGAATGATTCTCCTCTGGGAATCAAACTGGAGCTGGTAGGTGGGTTGTGTTCGAAGGAATCCAATGGTTAAAATGTTCTGTTTTGATCTAGCTGAAGCTGTGAGCCCAAATGGCTTGGAACCCCGGGAGTACCTTCAGAGCAAGTTAGCTGTTTGAAGGCCTGCAGTCTTACTTTATTTTGTGTCAGAAGCTCATGAGTGAGGGGCACCAGGCTGGTTCGGTCAGCAGAGCATGCGGCTCTTGATCTCAGGGTTGGGTTTGAGCCCCACGTTGGGTGTGGAGATTACTTAAAAATAAAACCTTAAAAAAAAATCACGAGTTAGCTTTATAGGCAAACATTAAGTGGCAGAAACATTTGGGGAGAAGGAAAACAAGCTTTGTGTTTTGTTTTTTTTTAATTCTGACTAATTTGTACCATTCAAATCATTCTTATAAGAAAAATGCAAAGTATTTCTCATAAACATTTTAGTTATTAACTCTTTTATGCAGAACATTTTTTAAAGAATATCCTTTTATTGACTGCTGACTGATACAGATAGGATATCGTTTAGTTAAGTTGAATAAGGTATTTATATTTTTTGAATTTTATTTTCTCATATGTAGATTACCGACTTTATTTCTCAAGTACTCTGACCATTCCTGCTTTGCTGATCATCCAGCTACTGCGTTCAAATTTTAATATTGGCTTCAACTATACTTTTTTAGAAAAAGCTCCATGGAGAAATAATCATGCAATCAATGTTTTTCTGGGATCACAGTACATCTCAGCATGTAGCTGACTGGCAGTTTTTTTTCTTTTAATCAGAACAGTTCACTTGCCTGGGTAAATAAATTTACGTTCACATTTTGAATTGTTTCTGATCTTAATTGGGCATTTAGGGGGTCAAAGTGGATGGTTCAGAACTAGGTGGGAAAATCATTTTTCAGCATGTCAAAATACCAGCAACTCATTTTCTACAAAACAAAATAACAGGAACAAAAAATATAATGTATTCCAAAGCCCAGAAAAAGCTGGTAGCTTGACAGTCATGAAGACTGTGGTATTCTCTGTATTACTTTGATCCTGAATGTGACTGTGCTTACTTTAAATTGGCAAATTATTGCCACTGAATTCTATTATTCAAAATGACTGCATTTTTGAAGGGAAGCTTACAGGTTAAATACCTTTCACCAGTGCTGTGCTGTTGATGACCGCTCTGGGGGTTAATGTGAATCTTGTTTTATATTTGGATATTTAACATGTAATATAAACAATTGAAGTGAAATTAAACTGTATGTGAATGGGCATTTTTTCTAAAATTAGAGGAGATGCAGTGAGTAATCAGAAAAGATATAAACTTAATTTTAGAAAGCAATATTTATTCAAAATGACTGAAGATGTTACAAATCATGCTTTGTAATGTAAAGGGACTCAAAAGGGTTTTCTGAATTGGATTATTTCTAATTTGAGTCAGTCTGGTTTTCATACTTCGTATTGTTCCTCCATGTTACTAAATCTCTGCTTTGGCACAAATAGGCATGTGCTGAAACTGCATTGAGGCACGTGGAAAATGTGACTTAATGAGTGGATATTCACGGTCTTCCCGCTTTTGGGGGGTTGTGATTCATATGCAGAAACCCCCTGCAGCACTGAGTCAGAGTCAGATAGACCCAGTGGCCTAAGAGGGCCTGCCACTGGACAGTTTTTCTGTTTCTTGTTTTCTTGGTTTTTTTTGAAGTTTGCTGCGAATCTGACTTTTCCTTCATGAAATCATTTTGGATGCTTAGAGGGCCTAGCCCAAGTCAAATGTCACCCTACACTGGCATGGTGACAAATACACAGCTAGCTAGTGTGTATTTTCATAAATTTGCCTCATGTAGCCAAAAAGATGAATCTTGTACATTCTTCACAGTAGAGATTTTAGCTTCCTAAACTGTAATGATAACATGGTGAATGTGTTGTGAGCAGGAGGCAATGGGGCCCAATAGAAGGAGCTCAGGATTTACACCATGGGTCTAGATTTGAACCCTGTCTCCAGCTAGCTAAGGCACGGGCAAGTTAATTAACCTCTTGGAGTCTCAAGTTTGTTCGTCTGTTAAATGCACATGGTAAAAATAATGTCTGCTTCATGGAATTATAAGTCTCAAATTAGATCAAAATATGTAAAAGTACTCTGTGAAGCTAGGAAATTCCATACACATTTTTTTCTCCTTATATTTTCCCAAGTTAATGTGCCTGTTCTTTGCCCTGGAAGTGATAACATCCACACAAATATACAATATATGCCTTGAAGAATGTGCTATTGAAACAGTCTGTGTTTATAGGGTCGGTTTGCCTCAAACTAAAAAGGAGTCATTTTATTTTTAAGAATTGAGTGAAAGGACCCCAAAATGAACAGATACAAGCACATAATACTTGTTAGCAGCCAACACTGGAATCAGGCTGCACCCTCGAAGTAGATATAATGCAGTGTTCAGATGAGTCCCTGTTGCGTTCCATTAAGGAGCCCCCACTGGTTTAGGAACTATATGTGGTAACACATCTGGAGAAGCCTCAAAGTGCTGAGTATCAGAATTCACTGCTTGATTGGAAGTAAAGTGATAACTTTATTTTTGCTGGTGGTCCAGTGGCTGTATCCTATAAAGTAAAAAGATTATCACCTGCTCTCTTGCTCCCCATTCCAAATCCATTCTTTAAGGACAGCCTCCATCCCACCCCCTCCATCAAATGCTGGATGAGGAAGGTACTGCCCAACCTTTGAAGAGTTTATGATTTAAAAGAGACTGAAAACAGATAATCAACTAACTTCTCTATGGAATCCTGGACAAAGTAAGTGCCACGGAGGCGTTCACATGGCTGGGAGTGCCCAGCTTCTGTGAACACTTCATAGCATCTGTCAGCACCCACGCATCATGCCTCATATTGGTTATATTTATTTATGTGTGATTTTCATTTATGTACCTAGATTGTAAACTCCTTGAAGGCAGGGAAGGTACCTTGGTATCTCTCGTTCCCTCTCTCCATACCTTTTACCTAAGCCTCAAGCAGTTTTTATGGTTCAGATAGAGTCTGTACCCAACATTCAGGTTTAACCCATACATTTAAGCCCTAACTTGCTTCTTTTCTTTTGTCTTTGCAGTCGACCTGCCCCTGTTTTTCCCTCGGGACCAGCCAACTCTCACATTCCAGTCCGTCTATCATTTTACCAACAGTGGACAGCTTTATTCCCAGGCCCAAAAAAATTATCCATACAGCCCCAGATGGGATGGAAATGAGATGGCCAAAAGAGCAAAGTAAGTGAATCCACTGCGTTTCCTACAAGTAGGAGCATTTCCTTTCTCTAGTCCGGGGGTTGGCAAGCTACTGCCTGCAGGCTAAATCCTGTCCTGTGCCTGTTTTTGTAAATAAAGTTTTACTGAAACACAGCCATGCCCATTTCTTTACTTATTTTGTATGGCTGCTTCCATGCTACCATGGCAGAGTGAGAAATTGCAACAGATCACACATGACCTACAGAGCCAAAAATATTTGCTGTTTAACCCTTTACAGAAAAAGCTTGCCAACCCCTTATCTAGACTCATCAGGTAGATTGTTTGTTTGTTTTTTTAAATGGGTTACAGGATTTATCTGCAATCTACTGGTCTATTTAGATTAGAGAAAAAGTACTAGAGGAATTAGAGTTGTGGATAAATGGTGTTGATGATGAAAATGTTGGAAGCTATTTTCATATTTTTTTTAAAAAAATGGAAAATTTCAGCTGACAGTAGACAAATAGAATTTCTGCTTAGTGGTCAGTACATGGGTCCAGTACCAAGTTTTTCATGTGGAACTATAATGTCTCTGAAGGAACAAACATTACATACCTCATTGAATCTCTACCACCATTGCCCAAATTAGGGCCTGTGTCTTCTTCATCTGAGTAAATGGCTATGCAAATAGCTTGGAACTGTTAGAATCCCTGTGGAAGTAGGCTGGGAATTTGATAGAAGTTGAAGTTAGCTAGAGTTTGGAGCTTAGAGATTTAAGTACTGCCCATGAACCTGTATGTAGAAAGTGTTCACAAGCCCTGCGGGATAGGTAAATGTACAAGTATGTTTGTGTTTTATGGGTAACACTTTATTTTTTTAATTTTTTTTTTAATATTTTTTTTTTTTTAAGATTTATTTATTTATTTGAGAGAGCGAGAATGAGAGAGAGTACGTGAGAGGGGGGAGGGTCAGAGGGAGAAGCAGGCTCCTCGCTGAGCAGGGAGCCCGATGCGGGACTCGATCCCGGGACTCCAGGATCATGACCTGAGCCGAAGGCAGTTGCTTAACCAACCGAGCCACCCAGGCGCCCTTTTTTTAAAGATTTTATTTATTCATTTGAGACACAGAGATACAGAGAGAGAGCGTGCGCGTGAGCAGGGGGAGAGGCAGAGGGAGAGGGAAAAGCAGGCTCCCCGCTGAGCTAGGAGCCCAGTGTGGGGCTCGATATGGGGTTCGATCCCAAGACCCTGGGACGATGACCCGAGCCGAAGGCAGACGCTTAACCATCTGAGCCTGGGTAACACTTTAGTATCTGGAACATCAGTCTTCATGAACCATGGTCTCCCAGATTGAAGCCACAGTGGATCAAAATCATAGTTTCCAAAAATATGTAATGGTTAGAGTGGCAGGTGGTTATTACTTTATCACTCTGAACAGCCATACGGTCACCCCTGTGATCCCAGCTGAAGGATGATGAGATCCACAGAATCACAGATATGAAGGATATTTATTAAACATCTTCATTCAGTCATTCAGCGTTTATTGAGCAGCTACCATGGTCCAGGCAATGCGCTCCATGCTTGGGGATAGTGATAAACACATTGGAAGTTGTCCATGTCTTCATGGAATTTATAGCCCAGCGGGAGAGATCAAAGCCTTTATCATACCAGATTTCTGACAGTTTGAAGTACTAACAAAACCTGGCCTGCCAGACCTAGAATGCTCTCGATTAGTAGGACTTCTTGCTCTTGCCTCCCCCTCCCTGAGACTTCTTTCCCTCCCAGGGGGCCTCCTGACATCTCCTATACTTTCTGTAGGTACAAAACCTTCACTTAATCAGGATTGGGGCTCTGTTCAATAATGACAGGGCTGCTTTCTGTAGAAACACAGACCTTCCCATATTCATATGTGGGATCCAGAAGTGTTATCTGAGACTTCAGTGTGCCCTTTCTCCCTGCATTTCCCCTTTTTATCCGTGAGGTCCGAGTCTGAAATTCTGTTTAAGGAAAATGACAGGCATATGCAAATGTACCTAATAACAATGATTAAGACTTAGATATATTGAAACAGACTTGAAAAAAAGGGATTCAAAAATAAGTTTTATATTTGGGGTATTGCAGTTGTTTAATTTTCTGGGCTTTCCCTGTGTATATACAAGATCTGCCCTTAGAAGATGGGCTGTTATTTGTGGTATGTGCTATGGAGTCTGAACCAGACATGTCCTTGTGGTTTCCATGGCAAAACTGTGTGTGTGTGTGTGTGTGTGTGTGTTTCTTAACTAGACATTTTAGCATGTATGAATTGAGTCTTTAAGGAGTTGCAGACCACAAGCCTATGATTTCAGTATAGGAATATCGTAAGTGAAGCCTGTTTATCTTAACAGATTGGTTCAGAGTTGCAAGAGACATTTGCTTTATGTTAACACCAGTCTAAAGAAAACATCTGAAGTAACGTTAAAAAAAATCTGCTTTCTACAGTAGTGAAGATGGATTCATTTTAAATGTAATAAAAGAGAAAGCCAGCCGCTCATACTAGGAAGAAGAAATAGTTTAAAAGCTCTCTTCTTTAAATTGAACCGAGTAACTTCCCTGGGCTGTGTCAGAAAGCCAGGTAATAGATCAACACAATCCGAGAACTGTCCTGCAGGACAGGCTTGAGATTGGTGGAGAGAGTTGGAGAGAAAGGACAGAAAGAGAGAGAGGCCAACTGCAGCATTCCTTACACGCCCTGTTTCTTTGTCCTGTGAAAATATTGTACGTGCACAGTGCGTAAAAGGCTATAATTCACTCGGGGAGTTCTGCCCATGACATAAACACTCACGGTTTATGAACATCAGTAGAACCCGTTGAGTGGAGTCAGCTGTTTATTCCCTCCTCTAGAGCAAAATTCTAAACATGTGGCCTCACGAAGGACACTTGCTGGCACTGACCAGAGCTTTTCCTAGGACATGTGTTTCTTGCTCATGGCTGTCCAGCAAATTCTGTCCTCACAAGTGAAATGCCCTCTACTGGGTGAGCACAGGCTTTGGGGTCATGCAGTCCCATGCCCAGCTCCTGTCACAAGTTCTAATCGAATAAGCTGTGGCCTCGGGCTATTAACCTTTCTGAACTTGATCCTGTAAAACAAGACTGTACTCCTCCCTATTGGACGGGCTTGATCTGAAGGGTCAGTGAATGGACATATGGAAGACTCTTGTGTTTGGCTTCTGCTTTGTCCCACAGTGCCTTTGCTCACTCCTTCTTCCCACCCTCTTTCTGCCCCTTCAAATCCTTCAGCGTTCTTCCCTCCGGTTTTCTCCATGCATGCTAACGTGCAGGCAGCTTCTTCCCCTCTGCCTAGTCTCAGGTCTTCCTCAGGTTACAAAAGGGTTATGTACCTATAAACCCATCGTAAATTGAAAATATCGTTTGTAAACTGGAAATGCATTTATCACACCTAAACTACCCAACATCCTAGCTTAACGTGGGACTACCTTCAGTGTGCGCAGGACACTTAACTTGAGCCACAGTTGGGCAACATCAGCTAACATAAAGCTTATTCCATAATACAGTGTTGAATAGCTCACGTAAGTTACTGAGCAATACTGGAAGTGAAAGAGAGCATGGTTGTATGAGGACAGAATGGTTGTAAGCGTATCAGTTGTTCACCTTCGTGATCGCGTGGCGGACTAGGAGCTCGCTGCAGCTTGCTGCCTCTGCCCAGCACCTCGAGAATTCTGCCACGTAGCCCGGGAAGAGCTCAGAATTCAAAAGTACAGTTTCTACTGAATGCATGTCACTTTTGCATCATTGTAAAGTCAACAAATTAAGTGGAACCATTGTAAGCCAAGGACCAGGTGTGCTGCTTTGAAATCTCTTTTGTATTATTTTTTGTGTATCTTTATATTGTTTCATTTCCTTAATCAAATTTTGAGTTCTTTGAAGGCGGGGGCTTTGCCTACCTATCTTTTTAAAGATATTTATTGCAGTGTAATTCACATACGATAAAGCAGACAGATTTCAGTACATCTTTTGATGGAGTTTTGACAAAGTTACCTTCTACCTTTTCCAGTTAGTCTCCTCATCCCCAGGACAGACACTGCCCCATGTCTTAGTTTTTCCTTTTCTAGATACTTCTTATAAATGGAATAATACAGATTGTATGCTTTTGTGTCTTTTGTAGTCAGCATAATTATTTTAGATTTATCTGTTATGAAAAAAAAAAAGATTTATCTGTTATGGTATTCCTTTTTTACTGCTGAGGAATTTCCATTATAGGAATATACCATAATTTATTAATGCATTCATCTGCTTATATATATTTAGGTTGTTTCCAGTTTGGGGATTTTATGAAATGAGCTGCTAAAAACGTTCTTAGACATACAGTTTCAATTCTGTGAGTAAATAACTGGGAAGGGGGAGTATGTGTATGATTAACTTTATAAGAAACCGGCAAATTTTTTCTGAAGTCTTTATACCAGCTTACACTCCCACTGGCCAAATACAGGGTTCCATTTGTTCCATATCCTCCCTGACACTTGGTATTGCCAGTCTTTTAATTTTAGCTATTTCAGAGGGGATGAAATGAGATCTCATAGTGTTTTTTAATCTTAATTTCTTGGTGATTAATGATGTTGATCATCTTTTCATGTGCTTATTGGTATATCTTCTTTTAAAAAGTGTCTGTTCAAATTTTGCCTATTTTTAATTAGGTTGTTGGTTTTTTTATCATTGAGTTTTAAGAGTTATTTATATATTTGTCAGATTTATGCATTACAAGTATTTTCTCCCAATCTGTGGCTTGCCTTTTCATTTTCTTAACAGTGTCTTTTGATGAGCAGAAAATTTTTATTTTTAATGAAATTGATTTTATTAGTGTTTTCTTTTTATGTTAATGTTTTTGTAGCCTCATACGTATTTGCTTACCACAAGGTCATGAAGAAATTGTTCTATGTTTGTTTGTTTTACAAGCTTTCATTTTGGTTTGACGTTTAGGTCTCTGATCCATCTCAAATTAATTTTTGTGGATGGTATGAGATGGACACTGAAGTTGTTTACGTAAATCCA